TTCGGGTTTAGGGTTTAGGGCAGCCGTAAGCAAAGGCCTGGGAAGGTCTGTCATTGGCGCAGCGGAGTAGCTGCAGAAACGCTATGAGGCGCCTTGTTGGTGGTTTGCGGGTTAGGGTTCAATGCAGGGGCCTTGATCAGACTACGGTCTTGGGGTATACTATACTATCATTCCACAACATAATATAGGTAATTATTTCGGCCCCTATATTAGGGTTTTGGGGGTTTGGGGGTTTAGGGTTTAGGGTGCTTCAGGTCTTTGAGGTTTCGAGGTTTAGGGCTCTTCGGGCGTTGGGCTCTTCAGGGTCGAAGTGCTTCAGGGCTTTCGGGTTTGAGAGCTCCGGAGCTTTAGGATTTCAGGGGAGGCCCTTATATACGCGGTCTAGAGTGTAGGGTTTAGGGCCAAAGCTTTAGCTTTCCTTTGAACTTGAAGTAACCAGGGAGAAACAAGTATAACTAGCATAATGGTTCCTTTAAGGAACAGGTTCAAACAAAAACGTGCAAGTACGGCACTAGGGTGCTGGGGCTTCACAAAGCTTTAGGGATTTTGCGGCCCGGGGCCGTGGGGCTTGAGACGTGGGTCGGTCCCTTGGGCGTTAAATGGGGATGTGGGCTTCAGGGGTTTAGGGTTTAGGGTTTAGAGTCTATAGGGTCGAGGGTCTAGGGTAGGATGCCTGATCTTGGAGGTTCGGTGAACGTGGGGCTTCTGAGGCAAGGGGCTCCGAAAACCGGCTTCGGCGGCGTGGAACCCTAAACCCTAAACCCTAAACCCCTAAACCCTAAACCCCTAAACCCTAAACCCTAAAAACTAAACCCTAAGCCGGTGCTGAGGCTTTAAGGCCCGCAGTCCGTGGCTTCGAAGTTCGAAGAGCTCATGACGGTCGAGTCTCGTCGCCAAGTGCCGGCTTCGGTGTCAATGCAGCCCTGGCGACGCAACAGCGGCGTGGAACCCTAAACCCTAAACCCTAAACCCCTAAACCCTAAACCCCTAAACCCTAAACCGGGTGCTGCACCGTTGTGACGACTTCCTCGAAGCGAAGATTGCAGGCGGCGACTGCACAGGGGCGACTCTGACTCCCGACTTGGGTGCCTCGTCGTCGTAGTCCTTTTGAGTTTAGGGTTCAGGGTTCAGGGTTTAGGGTTTAGGGTTTAGGGTTCTAGAGCAGTGCTGGCGTGATTCGTTGGCCACCTGCTCAGACAGTGGAGTTCCGAACTATTGGTTTACTTCTGCATTCCGGTGTTGTTGGCCTCCGGGGATTTTCGTGGGGTTACTCCGAAAACAAAGGAGCAAATGGTTCACGGTGTCAGGGTCGAAGCGAGAAACCCGGCATCCCGAAATAGGGTTTAGGGGATGCAGAAACTGAGGGCCCTAGCCAGAAGCTACTGTCTGCGGCGAGGTCTGCGTCGTGACCATCCTAGACGTCTTGCTTTCAGGTTGAGAAATTCTGGGTTCGATATGACAGTTTGGGGCTTAGCTTAAGGGTGTTAAAGTTCAGGCCCTTTAGGGCTTGTGGTTTCGAAGTTAAGGGGCTGTTGGGTTCAGGAGGCTTCGAGCGGAGGGTTTTAGAGGATGATTCCGGTTGATCCAAGGTTTGGGACCTCTTGTCATGGGAGTTCATATGTGCCCGAGGCTCTACCCCCTGATTTGCACCTTATATGTTTTGGGTTCGTGGCCTCATTTCAGAACTTCTGACTTCTGGGCGTGGCACTCAGTAACTCAGTCCAAGAGCAGCAAGAAAGCTGAACCCACCGCTTGCTCTACAGCCTAGAATCTCAAGAACTCTTGAAGCCGTGCAGTGCAGGCACAACGGTCCATTGCAGTGCAAGGGTCAGATGCGGAACGCGCGCAGAAACAAGTCTGCCGTACAAGTCGTAGTAGTGCCCATAACCGCCAAGAATGACGCCCTGCAGCCCTAAACCCCTCGGAACCTCAAGCCCTGAAGCCGCAGCCCTGGCAGGGTGTCAGATCTTGCATGTTGGGATAGAGGAAGCCCTAAACCCTGAACCCTAAACCCTAAAGCCCTCCTCCACATGAACCACTTTGGCATCAGCAACGCCGGCGATTGCACGCACAAGGTCCTGTGGGATTCTAAGTTTAAGGCTTGGCTTTTTCCGGTTTCCGGGTGTAGGGTTTGAGGCCTTTGCTTCCGTCGCAAGCATGCGAGGTCGTCTTAGCTTTGTGCGTGGGGAGGGAGGATATAGGGTAATCACCTTAGTGCATCATCGTAATCGTAATCGTCATCACGGCCTGGGGGTCACTAGGATAGAGGGTGTGCTCTGGTTTGCTGCTTAGGATGTAGGGTGTACGGCTTCGGGCTCAGGGCGTTGAGGGCTTACTTGTAGTCTCCTTTGTAGTTCCTTTTGCGGTTAGGTTGTAGGAAGCCAAATATGTAATTGGTTGAAACAAACAAAAGGACTACAATGGAGACTATCGGTATGATCTAGGGAACCTTGGCGTTCGACTTAAACACAGCACCCGAGCCCAGAAGTCATGGAACACAGCCAGACCTGACAGTCGGGCCTAAAGACCCGTCAGAAAACACACATGAAACCTTACACCCTAAACCCTAAACCATTCAATAACACCCTAAACCTAAATTTTCTCAAGATTAAAGTTCAGGGATTGGGCTTGGGGTTGAGTTCTAGTATTAACTCTGGTCTTTGGTTCTATCAAGGAACCAAGACCTACCACAGGATCATGGCAGGTTCGACCATTATAAGGGTCCAAGTGCCTAAAAGAACACTCCCCTTCTCAACCCTAGACCCTAAACTCCTCAACCCTAGACCTTAAACTCCTCAACCCTAGACCCTAAACTCCTCAACCCTGGACCCTAAACTCCTAAACACCTCAACCCTAGACCCTAAACTCCTCAACCCTAGGCCCTAAACTCCTCAACCCTAGACCCTAAACTCCTCAACCCTGGACCCTAAACTCCTAAACACCTCAACCCTAGACCCTAAACTCCTCAACCCTAAACTCCTATACTAGAGACCCTAAACTCTTAAACAGCCATCCTAGACCCTAAACTCCTACACTCCTAAACACTTCAGCCCTAGACCCTAAACTCCCTAAACCCTAAACCCTAAACCCTAAACCCTAAACCCTAAACTGGATCCTGGAAGAGCTGATGCGGCCACTCGAAGGCAAAGCCTTCTACCAGAGCCTGCCATGGGGCGGCTGCGCTGTAGAGACTAGGCTTTGCCTAAGCCTCAAGTAGGGTTTAGGGTTTAGGGTTTAGGGTTTAGGGTTTAGACTTTAGGCTTTAGGGTTTAGGGCTTAGGGTTTAGGGTTTAGGGCCAAGGTGCTACCTATGTAGGCTTTAGACCCCGAAGTAGGTCCTATTGTCGGGTAAAAAACTCGGAGTTTTAGGGTTTAGGCCTGTTTTAACACTGTAACACCGGACCTTTCTCTCCCCACTGTCTAGGGTTCACGGTTTATCAAGGTTACACGAAACTGAAACATTCTGTGAGACAGGGGTTTGGGCATTAGGACTTTCGGTTTTAGGGCTTTGGGCTTGGAGTTAGGGATATCGGTTTAGGGAACCACGTGGAAAGCAACGGCGCATGCTCTGCGATCCCTGTGATCTAAATATACGTTTTTGCAATGGAGCGAAATATTGCTGCATGCTGCTATGAGGCTATAACAGTACGTTCTAAACAACAGTATCTAGACACGGCACCTCTTCAGCTTGTAGTTAGAAGGGCTTAAGATCGCCTTCACTTTGGGCTTAAAGAATTAAGTCCAGCCTATTTACGGTACCAAAGGACTTTGTTATTTGGGGCGTGGGACCAGCGCCCTCGCCCAAGGAGCATGCAGGGTTTAGGATTTCTCATGCGTTGGGGCTTAGGGTCTATAAGGCTTAAGGCTTAGATAAGCCCTGAACCCTAAACCGTAAACCCTAAACCCTGAAGCGTGCAGACCGGCTGTCTTGATTTGAACCGTTCATAGAGGGCTTAGGACTTCGGCGAGGCTGCGAACTGATGCAAACTAACGCTATCTATCGCTGCCCCAGCCCCCCTCGTGAAAAGGGCCATTTTCTTCTGGCAAAGAGGATGCATGAATCCATCCCCTGGTTATCTGACGCCATAAACACGGCTTAGTACGGGTGAGGCCCCAAGAAATGAGCGTCAAGGCAAGTGAGTTCCAACAGTGACAATGGACTGGGTTTATGGTTGAGGGCACTAGCATTCTACTAGTTGACACAAAGCTTGTGTTCACAGAAAAAGTTGATCCCAAGTACGGAACAAAGCTACCAACTCTCAATTCCCAAAGTGCAAGCTTAGCCCTTGTAGGCCTCGTGTAGTCGGGCATTGTGCCACGGAGCCCTACTTTTTGCATGAGTCTGTCATATAAACCCTGAAACCTAAACGTCTTTGCCCACCAAAAGACCCTGGCCACCCCAAACTCTAATGAACCCTTGACCCTCAAATATAAACCCTGAAACCTAAACGTCTTTGCCCACCAAAAGACCCTGGCCACCCCAAACTCTAATGAACCCTTGACCCTCAAACCTCCTCTAAGCCGCAGGACCTTGAGACTCAGGGGCTTAGCAAAAGGCACGCCCCAAAATAAGGACCCCCTATTGTCGGAAACTCCCAAATACTCCGGGTTTGGGGTTCGGGGTAGGTTTCAATGGTTCATGCTCGTAAGACAATTTTGTGATCCCTATGCCATTGAACCCCGCAGCTGGGATCCCTACACTACAACTTCGACTTGTAACCCTCAGACCTATGCAAACTCGACCTCCCAATACAAGAGCCTCAATCAATAGAATAGAACGTTCGGGTCCATGCTGATAGACTTGTACTGAAGAAAGATCCCTAGGAGAGTCATGTTTAGGTGGTCTTCTCAGCCCCTGAAGCCGAAACAATAAACCCAAACCCCTAATTAAACCCAATCCCCCAAAACCCCGAAACCCAAAAACCCCAAGCAAAAACCAAAAACTCTTGGGCTCGTGCCCGCCGCGACGAGGCTCCTGCCGCTGTGGCGGCGGCTGCCGCTCGGGTCGCGACCTCCGCGGCGCGCAAGGCAGCGGAACGGTCACCTTGGAAGCGGCCGCTTTCGGGTTAGTTATGATCTGGCAGGATATCGCGCATTACAATAAATGATATGATATGAGATGATAAGATATGATATGACAGAACATTGATATAGAAAGAAATCATCTGATGCCATGTGGTATCATATGACATAATACCATACCCTAGACACCCTAAGCCTTAAGCCCTAAACCCTAAACCCTGAACCCTAAACCCTAAACCCTAAACCCTGAACCCTTCATGCAGTAGGGTGCTTTTAGGTTTCGGGTCTTACGGATTTCGGCCTCCAGGGCTTTAGGCGTGTAAGGGCCTGAAGGATTAGGGTTTAGGGTTTAGGGTTTGGGGTTTAGGGTTTGGGGTTTAGGGTTTAGGGTTTAGCGTTGAGGGTTTAGGGTTTAGGTTGTGGGGGGTTCTGCGATTCTGCGATATAAGACTACGTGGAAAAATACTGCGAAGCGAAGGCCTTGGGATGCTTGTAGATGGTACTGCTGCAGTTTGCGCATTGCTTTGCTGGCGCTCGAGACTTTCAATCTGCTGAATGGCGTTGGTGCAGCCAGGTTTAGGGTTTGGGGTTTAGGGTTTTGGGTTTAGGGTCTAGGGTTTATTATTGTTTAGGGTTTAGGGCTTAGGGTTTAGGGCTCTGCCCCTTCCGATTTACTCAGCTTGCTGTTCCTGTGATGGGCTTGACAAGCTTGGGTACGACTGCGACGCTTCCGGGAACGCATCGTTGCATGCCTGCTACCGAGCACTGTCCGGCTTTCTTATCAGCGTGCTGTAGCCCGGCAAAGCCGATAGCAAACTATGAGAGATCATTTGTTGTATACACTGACAAGGACTACATGACTACATAGAATGTCTGGTCACCACCATAAACCGCCACTAGCTTCAAACTCAACAACAAAACTGAAATCAAAAACAACAGCAGCACCGACACCAACACCACAAACACCAACACCACAAACACCAACACCACAAACACAAACACCAACACCAACACCACCACCACTACCACAACCACCACAA